ATAGTGTTTGGACTTTTTGATATCTTTCTGTCCTTATGAGCCACTTTTCTAAAAGTGATTGAATAAGGAGAGAATCTGCGTATTTCAGGGAAGGTTCTGTAATATATCATATAGTCACATTGACATTGGGAATAATGGGGAACCCAGGGACAATCCACTGTAGACAGTATCTTTCAAGAAAGAGAACGAATGAGAAAGACTAGATTTGAGTTGAGCCACTACAGAACTGTAAGGTTAATAAAGAACCTTCTAGAATGAGATGCTATACGAATCTTTTGGGCTCCTCAGACTTCATGGTAGTTTTACCTAGACCTTCATATCATACAATCCCCGTGTTTACAGACTGCTCAAGCAAAAGAAAGAAAAGCTTCTGTTGGTAAACAATTTCCCACCTATAATTTCATGGACAAAATTCACTTAAAAACTTGAAAGGAATTAATCAGTAAGAGTCTGATGTTTCTCAAAAACAAACACTTGAACTTCAAGAGTGCATATTTGTAATAATAAGTACCCGAGCGGAGAACTGCGCCTCTCTCCTTTCACGGGGTATTGACATGGGTCCCACGATTACGAGGCATTGTACTTTGCTTTCCTCTTAAATATTGACACAGCCATTCTTTTGTTCACCCAACAAATATTTGCTGGGTCCATAGATACAGTGTCCCCTTGGAGGAGAGAGAAGCTGTATCTAAACAGCTGTAGCAAACTGGTACACAGTTTCGGGAGAATACAAGAGGAGAGTGCGTTCAGCTGAAGACAGCCAAAAAGGCTTCTTCTTGGGCTGCGGTTACCCTCTGGGCCAGAAGGGTCTGGCAGCGCCTGGCAGAGCGCTTCTGGGGAGATGGAGGGATGAAGGATGGGCATGTCCAGGGGACAAGGAGTAGAGTTGGAGTAGGAGGGGTAGGAGGAGGTCAGGGCAGTGAAGGCCAGCCAGGTCACAGGGCCTTTGGGGCTGGACTAAGTGATTACTGCCCTGGGGAGTAGCAATGGGGGGCTGTTGAAGGTTTTTACGAAGGTAGTGACAAGTGAAACTTGTCAGAGCAGGACACAGAGGATCGTGCCTCTGCGACTGGAGGGGTGACTCTAACGGCGTTCAAAGAGTTCCCTGGGAGCACCCCACTCTCACCTCGGGCCTCCGTGACTCGTGCCAGCTTTCCCTTGAGTGGCACGGCGGCAGCTGGCTTGGATTCAGCCTCTTCTGTTCTGCTCCGTCAGTCCTCGGTCCAACACTTTCTCGGTCCAATGCTTCCCAGAACCTACCTCTGCCACCCTGCCCACACTGCGGCTTATTTCCCACAATCCTCCAGGGTCTGTGTAACAGCAGCATCGCTCCTTCTCCCACATGGGTTTTGATTTCTCCGTTGCTCTTTTAGAACTGGACACCACCAGTCTTTTGGGGCTGCTGTGATAGTGACATAGGGCAGACGAAGAGACTTTACAGCAATATTAAAAAGACGATAAAAGACTTGGTTAAAGGTGTGCGGAGATGCGGAAAGGGGGATGGATTCAAGAAATACTGTGCAAATAGAGGAGGCAAGATCTGATGATTGAATGTGGGCCTCAGGGAGAAGGAAGCAAACAGCAGCGCTGAGCTTTTGAATCTCTCTGAATTCAAATGGTTGCAAAAGGGCCAGAAGCCACTTTTCTTAACGTTGATGGAGTTGAGCTGAAGCCGAATGTTGTGGTCAGAGCTGCAGAAGCGGCTTTTTTAAACTTTAGTGACAATTATCCCGAAGGGTGTTGTGAGCAACCTGGTGGAGTTAGTTGTAGCAACACAGTGTCGGGCACAGGCAGTAACCAGTGAGGAGGTTTGGAAGAAATATGGACCGGAAATGCTGCTGTAACAAAGTGTGGACAAAGCCTGGCCCTACCATTGGTTCTAGTCTTTGTATCATGGAGTAACGACCTTTTAGTGCAAGGCCTGGCCCTGCGTTTTACAAATAGTTTAGGAAAGAGAACAGGATTCTAAATTGGGAAGAGGAGTGGGGATGGAGACAAAATGTGGAAACGGGTGTCTTACTATCCCCATTTTATAGGCAAGATAACTGAGGCATAGAGAGAGGGGCTCGATGTAACACAGCTCCTAACTCGTGCTTTGGCTTTGGCTCATTCGTGCCAACATTTTATTTCACTGGTTTCAATTCAGGGATGCACTGAGGGCCTCTGATGTCCAGATAAGTGCTCCTGAAACATCCGTGAAAATGTAGGTTACATTTGTTTGGAGCCTGTGATGAGTGGGACCCCTGTTCTCGATGCAGCTGCACAGGATGGCCCCGGGTACAGAGCTGCAGTAGACGACCTGCTCTTGGCCTCTCCTCGATTTCTTAGTTCAGCTGAAGGACATTCTCCTGGTAGTTGGCTCTGGTGCTCCATCATCACCATCGATTGAATTACTGTGGTTTATTAAACACTTTCTATGTGCCAAAGACAGTGCGGAGCCATTTCCCACATTATTTCATGTCATTACAATAACACTATGAAATGGCTCCTCTTGTCTTTATTTTATACAAGAGGAAGCCACATGAGATGCCACTGCTGGTAAATAGCAGAGATGGGACCCAAACCCATGTCTGTCTGACTCCAGAGTCCATCGTCCTAACCACAGTGACATGTTGCTCTAGTGTGAGGCTTTTCTCAAAGGGTCAAGATCCCTACATTGGGCTTTCCTTTATTTGGGTTTAGATAGGCTTAATCTGAAACCTAGGCACATTTTGGAAATTCCTTTACATTTTTTTCCCCTAGAACTTGTGATGTTCTTAGCTGTTTTATTCCCATTTTGAACCAGTTATTAGGATAATTCCCCAAGGAAGCTGTATCCCTTTTTTTTTTTTATAAGTGTTGCCTGGTGGATGATGCGTTGATGGTACCATATGCAATTTTCAAATCACAAAGGCACTTTTCTCATACATCAGGAGGGAGTGGTGGCATTGTAGCACTTTCGTAGGAGCTGGGCATCCTTTAAGAGGCTTGGTGACGGAGCAGGAAATCAGCTTTCAAGGCTTTGTAGAGCTCGTTGTAAAATAACTGCTGTCTCCTTTCATTTAAATCCAAGTTCTTGCAGGAGTGCAAAAATCAGCATCAGAAATTAACAGGCTGCTCTTCTGCAAGACAAAATAGTGGTTACTTGGGTCCAAAGGGCAAATTTTGTTAATTGTTTGTGTTTCAGTGAGGTGAGACCCATTCTCATTATGGGAATTCTTAAGGATGTCCCACTCCTATATAAACAAATTATAGGCAAAGGGACTGAAGTTTACTTCTTATGCACTATATAAAAGCTAATGAAAATAATACCCAATTAGACAGTTACAAAGCCTGAGTGTATTAAAGTGTTATGTAAATATTGATTACTGCTAATACCATAAACTCACAAAGCAAGCAGAAGCTCGCCTGGCTCAAATTATAGGAGCTTTCATTTGCAACTCCACAGAACCCATTATTAGTGGGTCTCACGGCACCTTGCAATTAACAACTATTAAAGCCCGTAAATATGGTCAGGAAATATCTTTTTATTGAGGGCATAAGCAAGAAGTTCCCTTTGCCTCGTATATAGCATGAGATCTAAATGCCTGAGCTAAAGTAGACTTCTCCATATAAAGAGAATTTTCATGGATTATGGGCGTTTTGGGCTATTACTATAGGTTAGAGGTTTGCACATAAGGATTCAAGGTTCTTGTATTGAGTATCTCAATCTATGTGATTAGAACTCTTTACTTATTTTTAAAATTTTATACGTGCGATAGCTCTAGACAAATCTTGACAGTATGTTATAGTGTAATATTTCTCTGTAGACAATAATATCAAGTTTGAAAACGAACATTATGCCAAATTCACATGAAAGTATTTCAGAATGTTGTATCAGGTTTACTTTTTCTCAGGCCATTATCTTACTCCAAGGACTGAGAGCTCTTAAGCACAGTCAGAAGAACCTGTATTTATTTCTACACTCGGTAGCAAGTGCTTGGAAGATTGTGAAGATTTCTAATCTGCTTGGGAATACTCCCTTGCCCTCTCTCCCTTATTTCTCCTCTCTTCTCCTCCCTCTGCAACTACCCTACTCGCTAAAGCTCAGCACAGGTTGGAAAAGCTCAGGAGTATTCCCAGTGCCTGGCTCTCCCTCTCCATCTCCAGTGCTCAAGCTGCCCTCACGTGGTTGTTTCTCAGCTTTGTTTTCTACTAGCACTGAAAGACCATACTGTGGTCACTGGTCACCATTATGAGTCTGCTGAACATTCATGGTTATGCTTCAGTTTCACATAGATTCCAAGAACAGGGTGGACTGGTTGGCACTTCCCTTTAGAGTTAGGGACACAAGAACCTGGACAGAATGAATGATTTGATGGAGGTCCCATAGCCAGTTTCTCTCTTAGTAGAATTGGGACCAGAACTCAGGACTCTGGACTCGTAAAGCTTTTCTCTCCACCTCACAGTAATTAGATGATGCTTTGAATCCCACACAAAGTATTAAACCAGAAACACAGGACCAGAACTAGAAGTAGTTTGTTGCTATTGCATCCAGGGCTGTGGACCAGCAGGACAAGAGGGAGGAACCTTGGGGCTCTGAAGACAAATGGAGTAAGGAGAGAGCAGAGCTGAAGTGGTGGACTTTGGGGTGGTTGCTGTGCAGGAGCTGAATGACGGAGGCGAATGAAGAGCCAGTTGAAGTGAGAACAGGGTGAGGGAGAGAAGGAGTTGTAGGGGATTGGAAGGATGTTGAATTATGGCTATGGCAATGCATTGTTGATGTAAAATGAAGAAAAATTCCCTTGGTCCCCGGATGGATGGATGGTCCCTGGGGACAAAATCCCTCAGGATGGTCTCAGACAAGGGGTGAGATAAAGGCATGTGCCACACGTGGCCTAGTTCTCAGGGCACGTGGACCAACACCTTCCTGGGGGACAGCGGTGTGAGGGAGACGGGAGGAGTGATTACAGAATGAGGTAGACATGTGTCTATTGTGAGACAGGCTACATTTCTAAATTCTGACTTTCATGTTTCCCCAGGGAAAACTGAGGCTGCTATCAAAAACTTCAGTCCCTACTACAGCCGCCAGTACTCGGTGGCTTTCTGCAATCACGTGCGGAGTGAAGTGGAACAGCAAAGAGATGTGACATCACAGCTTCTGAAGACCAAGGTAACGCAGGGCCTCTTGGCGTGCGTCTTTCTCCCACTGAGCATGGCTTTACAACTCATAATAGATCTGGAAGGAACAATCATTCGAAGGGCTGATTTTGAAAAGTGTGCTCTCAAATCATTTCATGCTCAAAACACTCTATTTACCTGGGAGTTAGAAGGTATGAATTTTTGTCAAAGGTGTAATCCCTATTAAAAAAAAAAAGCATGATCCATTTTTAATATGTTCTCCCCACATTGATGCTTTGATATCAAGAAATTTGACTTGCTGTAGTGGACTTCAGTTGTTTAAAGTCACTTACTCTTTTTCTTGGGCTCCATTATAATGATTATCCATGATCTCAGCAAATCACTATTGATACCCACTATGTGCCAGGCCCTGTTCCAACAGGGGAAGAAGTCAAATTCTCTGTCTTCCTATTTATACTCAAATGTAGGAGACAGACAACAAATGAACAAATGACTCCCAGGTGATGTCAGGTGAGGGCAAATGCTACAAAGAAAAATAAAGCAGGAGGCTTACTTTAGAGAAGATGGTCAGAGAAGCCCCCTGTGGGGGCGACATTGGAGCAGAAATGGGAGTGAAGTAAGCATAGGCTGTGTGCACATCTGTGGGAAGATGACGTGACCAGGGCACATGACATGACCAGTTCAGAGACCCTGCAGCAGCCTTGGGCACATCAGAAGGCTGGAGTGCAGAGAGCAGTATGAGCAAGGGAGCAGGGATGAGAAATGACTGCAGAGTGACAGGTAGGGACTAGACCATGTGGGACGCATGGACTACAATCAGGTGTTTATTTTAAGTGTGGTGGGAAGTTACTGAAAGGTATTGAAGACAGAGGGACTTCTAATTTTAAGTGATCTTTCTGGTCTCTCTACAATGAGAAGACTATGGGGAAGGACAGAGGGGGAGAAGGGGGACCAGCGAGGAGGACAACGTAAGCAGCTCAGGAGAGGGATGGTGGCCAATGGCACTGGGGTGGTGATGGTGGCGGTTATGAGGACAGGTCCAGGTCAAGGTGGTTGAGACAGAGCTGATAGGACTTGCTGATGGACTGGATTAGAGAGAACAGAGAAGAGAGAGAAATCAGGAATGACTTCCTGCAAATAATTGGATGGAGGTGCCTTTCAGATGGAGGAGTTGGAAGTGGGTGGGAAACATGAGGTCACTTTTGGCATCTTAAGTTTAAGACACTTATTGAATATATACTCGTGGAAATATTGAGGAGGTAGTTGAATCCCCTGATCTGGAGCTCCGTGGAGAGAGTGAAGCTAGAGAATAGAAATCTGGGATTTCTTAGCTTATAACTGGGAAGGATCTGGTTGAGACAGAACAGAGAGGAAAGAAAGGTTTCATGCCCAGCCTTTGGCCCCTCCAATAGTTGGGATCGGAAAAAGAAGGATCCTGCCAGATGGACAGAAAAGAAATAGCCTGCAGAGCAGGAGAAAAGCCATGGAAGTGAAATGTTCTGGAAGGCAAGAAAAAGGACTTTCTGGAACTTGGGGGTATGAAATGGATCACATACTGCCAAGCGGTTGAGTCAGGTGACCAGTGGATTTAGTGGCCTGGGTGCGTAGGGATAACTGATGGTCATCTCCACAGAACAGTGATTCTCAAAATTCAGGGAGACTGTTAAGACACACATTCTGGCCCATACTCCCCAGAGATTCTGTTATATTAAGTCTCCGGTGAAGCCACATTTTAAACAAGCGTATCAATTGATTTCAGTGGCCTGGGCTTAAGAAATGCTACATATAAGGACTGTAAAGAGTTCAGCTTATATATGGTTTAGGTCTCATGTAGAGAGAAAAAATGAGGTCCTCTCAACCTGTTAATGAGGCAAGATAAGAGACTGCCTTATTATTTGTGAGGACAGAATATTAAGCCCCGGACTCTGGAAAGGAATTTATTTCATCCCTCAGACCGTTCTTAGAAAGATTAGCATATATACACTCTCAGTGCAGTTTTTGAAGTGAAGGGCTGAGTTTCTAAAGGTGGTAAGATTTTTCTAATATAGGGAACATAGAAATAAACTCACAGGAAAGACAGAAGGTCCCTTCCTGTATATTGAGATAAAACAGGATTTGCACTGTGAGGCAGGATGGGATTGAGTCCGGACACAGTTAGCCAGGTGGGAGACCTAACTGGGAGTCTCCCAGAAACTCGCCTATGGAACCTGGGCCACCAGAGTTCACGAGAAATCCTCAGACTTTTAAGCACCAGAGGCAGAGCGGTGCTGGTTTGCCTGCCTGTTCTTTGATCAGAGAGCCGACGTTGTCTCCTTGAGAACAGGTACCGGTTCAGGGTGTGCAGCCTGGGTCCCCGCGGTTTGGGGACTGGGAGAACCACTCAGCACAGACTCCTGAGGCTGCCTGGAGGTGTGATGAATAGGAGAACAGCCCGTTAATTCTCCTGTCTTAGGGGAATTAAACCCGATGCATATGCCTGGTGTCAGGATAGAATTCTGCAACTTACACTTAACTGCTTTGCTCCCTCTCCTCCGCAGAGTTTATCAAGGATTTATTAAGTGCCACATGTATACCAGGTGTAACCTTATTACCATAACCCCTGCCACCATTTGCTTCTGTTTCTGTAGCATAATGAAGGGAAATGAAAGCCATAACAATATCAATAAGACACATATGTGCGGTTGGACGGGTGGAGTAGGAGAGGGAAGTGTGGCGGAGGGGAAAAGCAGCCACTTCTCCAGGATCTCAGCACAAGACAGTTTCCTGAAATCGTCCTTGACGTGCATCGACAGCCTTCATGGTAGCGCAGTATGTCAGCTTCTATTATCATGACTAACCGTATTCATCTTCTTTAAGCCACCCTTGGACCCTGGCACTGTGTTATATGAAGCAGAACTATCCCAGTTTGCTGAAGACATAAAGAAATGGAAGGAGAGATATGTGGTGGTTAAAAATGATTTTGCTGTGGAAAGCTATGAGAACAAAGAGGTGAGATATTTTCTTGTTACCCTTGGTTCTTGCAATATTCCTACAAATCCGGTGGATTGATTTTCATGCCCTCTTCTTCAGAACTGATGGTTTTAAGAAGCCCTCACTCTCCAGAAGGTGCTCATTTCAGGGAACAGATGTTTACTGAGCGCCTACTATACGCCACATCATGAGAGGTTCTGGGCACAGGGCAGTAGGTCAGACAGATGTTCGCAGTCTAGTGGACCAGACAGACCTTGAACAAGCAATTGCAAATGAGTGTGGAAATAGGTTGTACGGGTGACCAGTGCAGAAGCCTTTCCTGCAATCATTCGGCTTCAAGGTCACTGTCTTGGTATCTGTCCCTTAGCTCTGTGTCTCCACATCTTCCCATTCTTTAAGCCTCCTACAGGACAGGTGGCTGAGGAGTTATTTAATAAGATTGTGGTTGAATTTGCATGAGTTCCTAGGAATTCAGGACATTTTATATACTTACTTAGCATATATTTACAGATTTTTTCCTTTTAACGAATTCTTGGTTATCACGTTATTTTTCTTGTCTGTGAACATAGGGAGAAAATGAGATAACGTATGCAAAGTGCCCAGCACCTGGAAGGACGTCAGTTTTTATGGGTTCCCATTTGTTTCCCCCGTGGAGAGTATAATACTATAGAGGGAGGAACACTGGGCCATGAGCTTGGGAAACCAAAGTTTAGTTTGAGCTTCAGTTAAACTGGAGAGTTAGGCTGAATGATCCCAACGATTCTGTTCACATCTCCTACCGTACATGCGTTAAATCTACATAGATTCTCAAGCTTCCTTTGAAATGAATAGCTATTATTTATCAGTTAAAAGTAGCAACATCAAAAACTCTGCTCTCTTGACTCCAAGAGCAGCCAGGGTAACCACCACGGATACTCTGAGCAATATTCCTGGTGCTAAACCTTTAGGGGGAGGTTTCAGGCTGATAGATCAATATGTTTCCTTCCCATTTCTGGCAGAAAATAGAAATAAAATGCAATGTAAACTTATTCTACATGTAGCCAGGTAATGCTGTCTTCAGTAGCCTTGTTCTTTTCAACACTCATTAACTAATATTTTCTCTGTTTATCTATGTTAAGATTTTATTCAACTCTTGATATGCTCTCCCACGCCAATTCCCAATACACTACAAATAATAATGATGATGACAAATCATTTTTATTTTGTATGACACATTACACTGTCCTCTCAGGGAAGCTTGCAAAGAGGCAGTATGGTGTAATGGTTAAGATTGGGGGACTCTGAATCACACCTTTATCAGGTACTCGATGTGTTCTTTCATTAGTTATAAATCTTCTTGAGCCTCACCTTTCTCATCTGTCAAATGGTCAGCGTGCTCCCTTGCTCACGATTAGACAGAGGAGCGCGTTGAAGCACTCAGCATGCGACTGAGCCCTGGCAGAGACCAATGCAGGGCACCTGTTGGTACGCTCGCCATGCGGTCATTGGGAGGAAACACTCAGAGAGCTTCCTCTTGGATTTATTATGATTTTCACCATATTTGGCACTAACTGAAGTTTCATTTTGAATCAAAATGGGTGTTTTTCCTCTTTTTATTTTTAAAGCTTTCTCCCTCAACTTTCAATTTATTTGCTCCTTATTTTCAAATGAACCTGATTGGATTTTTAAGATATAGTTACTGAAATGGATAATAACCAAGTATAAATATTTTTTTGCTCATCATTTTCGAATGCTCCTGTTTGGACTTTTAAGAGATAGTTACTGAATTTAATAATAAAGAAGTGTTAAAGAAAACTTAGAAATTAAGAAAAATACCATGCAGCTTGCCATAATTCCTCTAAGTTTTATTAACGGCATTTTTTCATTTATAGAAGAATTTGTTCTTAAAAATTATACCTAACAGTTACACATGAAGTACCTACAACTTGCTGGTTATTTTATGGAGGGTTCAGTTTTGGGTGGTTATCGAGCAGGAAACATAAGCAGTCTCAGCTGATAATCATTTCACTGGTCCACTTGGACTTGAACTGGACTGGACAGACCAAGTATGAATACAGGATTTGTCATCTACTCACCAATGGGCCGTTGGCAGGTTATTTAAACCCTCTTCTCCTTTGTGAAATGGAGATAATCGCTAATTCATAGTGTCATTTTTAAGATTAAGCAATGTAATGCTTATAAAAGCCCAGATTGGGGCCTGTTACAACAAATAACATAATTCAGATTTGAGGTCAGTCAATCACACAGCTTTCAGTTCTCTCTGGGTCCCTGATGCTCATAAGCAGTTGAGTAGCAGTTGGAAACAACCTTCTTAGGTATGCGAGAGTTTGTTTTGTTTGAGTCTCTTCCATCACTGCCTTGTTGATGGAGAGTGTGTTATTCTTACTCTGATTATGTGGCCCCCTGATCAACATTCTTTCAGTTATTCCCCAGAGTCCACGCTATATTTTGGGTCTCCCAGTTCTTCTGTGTCAATTCTCAACTGGCTTTTAGCTTGTCATTCTCAAAATTTTGCCTCGACTCAAGCCCTGCCGTCAGCATCAGATGCGCCCACCTAACTGTACCTTCTCTGGGGTCCCTGTGGGCCTCTCTGCTTTATAAATGCTTCCCAGTGTCTTAGCAATGCTTGCACCTCTTGTGTGTTTCCTGAACCACAGAGCTTTCTGTCTGCTGGCTGGCATGTGTTCTGCTATTGTGATAATGCCCTTCCACCCTAGATCACATTTCTGTAAAACAGTCTCATGCCCCAGGGCCAAGTGGTGGCATCTTCATCATGGCAACCTTTTTTTGTTTGTTTTTGGTGAAAATCCATGGCAACCATGATTGCAGTCACCTGGCCCATGGTCTCGTTAGTCACCAGTCGGCCGGCACTCAGTGTTGTGAACGTCTGTGTGTACATCACCCTTGTGGGTATCAGAATGAGTCGGCTGCCAGCGCCTGCAATGGTACAGTGCAGGACTTCTGGAAGTTACTAAGACGGTGTTTTCCTCATCTGAGAAACACACCTACGGTGACTCTCCCTGAGATGAGGGACTCTGACTCACCATGTTGCGACCATCACACAAAAGCACTAAAGGAATATCTTGCAAGCAGCAGTTATGAAAAATGTATTTTCTTAAATGCATGGCTCGTACTCAGTAACACAGGGTGAGAATTGCTTATCTCTGAGTGCCTGGGTCTGTCTATTTCTAATATTCTTGATCTTTTTCAGAATGCCAAATGAGGGGAAATAATCACTCATGTCTGCCTTTCCTTTCCCAGGCCTACCAGAGAGGAGCTGCTCCTAAAAGCCGCCTTCTTCCAGCGGGTGGCAAAGTGCTAACCTCAGAAGAGGAATACAATTTGTTATCGGATCGGCATTTCCCAGACCCTCTTGGTGAGTGGCTGAGCATTCTTTCCCAAGGCAACGTGCCTAGATTTGCTTTGTTTAGCTAGTGGTTCTCAATGGGGGAGGGAGATTTCTCCCTCTGGGGCCATTTGGCAGGGTCTGGAGACATTTTTGGTTGTCACAGCTTGGAAGGATGGTGCTTCAGGCATTCGGTGGGTGGAGGCCCATGGTGCTGTTAAACATCCAGCAATGAACAGAAACAGCTCTGAAAATGAAGGCTTATCCGAAGTGAAATACCAGTAGTTGCTGAAGTTGTGAAACTCTGGGTTAGATACACAGACTCCACAGACAAACGGGAGACATAATTCTCCTAATATAGGTAAACATTGTACCACTTCTACTATTTTGAGTCGCGTTCAGTAATATGTAAGTCGGTTCCTGTGTTTCTAGTGCACCAAGCACATGCCACCGGTTGGCATCTTAAGGCTTTGGAATATAGTTGCTGCTTTGGTAGCACAGCCCAGGATAACAGAAATGAACGGGCAGGGCTCAGTCTGTACAATGCACAATCTTGTCTTTCAGTAAGCATGTCAAGGGAATATGATTTTCCTAGTTTTAGGAAGACATGCCATAGAATACCCTAATTCAACACAATGTTTTTTAACAAGCGTTACAGTAACTCATAGCTACAGTGTAAAAAAGTGTTGTGTTCATTAGCATTTTTATACGTAATAGCCGAAGGCTGCGGTGGAAAGCACATTGAACTGGGAATTGGAAGGCCGGATTTTTATCTGGCTCTAACTGCGCCCCTTAGTAAAGGTGCTCCCTGGTGTTACTAAGCTTCTATAATTACTGTGTCTCCAACACCAGGGCCTTGAACTTTGAAAATCTAGAAGGATCTTTTCAACTCTGCTGTTCTTGGATTCTCATTCATTCTACCTTTTCCACGTAGAGAAGGTGATGGATAATATGTGTGTATAGACCAAATAGTGCATTTCATAGAGATTCATGATCTGTGGATAGTGTGATAATTCCATCTGTCTTTGTGTAAATCACACCACACGGTCATTACTTGTGCTTTATGAAGAGAGCACTGGTTCTCATTAATGGGTATAATCATTTCATTAGAATTTATGGGGAAAATATAGTCATTGTTTTCCACTGTTATTTTGGTGTGGAATTCTTAGCATAGTGCTTCTAATGGCACTATTATTAGATTGGTACAGGGACCATAAACCTGGGTTAACACACTATTATTAAATATGCAGTAATTCAAGCTAAAGCAATACTTTATGTGCACTATACATATTATTAGATTGTTTTGACATCTACTTACATGTCATCTTGGCTCTGGAGCGACCGCTGGAGATGGGAATACCAACATGCTGATTCTTCGGAATCTCTCTGAAAGGACTTCCCAGTGGAGTCAGTCAGCACAGACAATATAGTGATTGGTTAGTTGATGAAATCATGTCAGAAGGAATGAAGAGGAATAAAAAACACAAGTCCTGTGTGACTGATGCCATTTGGCTCAGGGCTTCAGATTGGGCCATTTCATGACTTTTTCCTTATTGTATGGTGTGGCCTTTTGAGTTTTAAAAATAAAACATTCTACAGTGGATCATTTGTGAAAGTCTTGTAACTCAACTCAGAAAAAATGCAGACGAACGGCCTCTGGAAAGTTGTTGTAAGAGGTTAAATAGGAGTGCATTTTATGGGGCTTTCTGAAGCTTTTAAATGCAGAAGGTCTGTGTTTCTGCCAGCTGTTTGTATAAAACCGTGACATCTTGGAAAGAGCCAGAATTGCTTCACAAAACCATGTTAACAGGACTCCCTGTGAACCACCAGTTCTACTGGAAAGGACGTTACAGACTGGGAAGGCCCAGGAAAGATGGGAGGAATTAACCTCGTGTAAGAAAAAGCACTCGAGGCTTATCAATGAAAATGTCTCTCTGCTAACGTGATGTATTATATATAGGTGCCCTCAGGTCTCGATGAAGTGACTCATTTACTTGGCATTTTATTAGTTAGAATCTAGCTTGCCACGCACAACAAAAAAAAACTCGAATTAAATAGGTAAAGTTCTATTGTCTTGCTAAAAAAACACTTGGCTTTAGCATTCCAGGGTGGGTGGGACAGTACCATGAATGTCAGGGACTCATTCTAGCTTTCTACGCCTTTATTTCTATGTTGTAGCTCTTTTGACATAGCGCAAGGTGGCTGCCGGAGAGCAGGCTGGGCTTTCTCCTCCCAGGCAGCAGGAAGGAGAAAAGGGGGAGGAGACAAACACATTTCCTCTCTTTCAGGAAACTTCCAGGAAGTTTCACTGCCTCTTCCATTCCAGGGGGGCCCAACCCATGCCCCGTGGGCCGTATGCAAACCGGAACGGCTACAAATGGGGCCCAACACAAGATTGCAAATTTACTTGAAAGCTTTTATTTTTTTCTCATCAGTTTTTGTTAGTGTTTGCGTATTGCATGTGTGGCCCAACACAACTCTTTTTCTTCCCGTGTGGCCCAGGGACACCACAAGGTTGGACACCCCTGGCACCCTATTAGCCAGAACTTAGTGCCTGTAGCACTACAAGCAGAAGTGAAGGCTGGACATGTAGTCTTTACTCTGTACAGCATTTGCTCAATGAAAAATCAAGGATTTTATTCCTGAGAAAGAAGGGAGAACAGACACGTGTTACTAGCAGAGGTCTCTGCTACGGTGTTCCGTCATTCGTTCATTTGTTTGTTCATTCACATGCTGACTCATCTTTAGGTTGTTATGGGCCAGGTCTATGTGACCTACAGGTTTCTGGACATGGAAACATCTCCCACATGTACACCGGGAAATCTGTTCTTTTCTAAGCCAGTCTTGACTTATTAACTTGCCAGTAGCAAGGCTCCCTTGTGGAGCACCCTAATGTCGTGACCCATTTCTTGGTATGCCTAGAGTGTTCACTGGCCTCTTGGAGGGTCCTTCTTCCCTTCCTTGCCCTGAGGGGAGAGCATATGGTATAGGCAGGGAGCACAGAGATAATTGTTCATGTACTTGTTCTCCACAACTCAAGGGAGAAGCTGGGTTTCATTTAACCAAGTGCAATAATATCACGTCATTGTAATGCATGAAAGGGAGTAAAGCTTAGCTGGGGCATCTGAGTACTAGTGCAGCTTAACATGAGTCTCTTGGAACTGAGTTTGAGGAAAGAGGTCAAAGTTTCCATTGTTTAAGCCTTTTAAAATTTCCTCCGACAACGTAGCACATTTATTCATTCAGTAGTTCCACATCTACTAGGTTCCATGACTGTGCCTTGAGTGGGGGGTACAAAGATACGTCAGACACGGTCTCCCTCTCCTGGGACTCCCAGGGCAGCGGGGCAGCTTCCTGGGGAGCGTCAGTGAGAGAGCTTCTCTCCATCTGTGCCCCTCGCCCTCAATGTGGGCGCCAGACATGGAAACAGATTATTACTCTATTTGGGGAGAAAAGGTAGGGAGTACCCAACTCTGTCTCTGGTAGCAAAGGAGGTGCCGACAAAGGGACCTCATAGCAGGGGGCTTTTGCATTGACTTTTGCTGGATGTGAGATGTCTCTGTGCAAGATTGTGATAGGAGGGGAGGAGCAGAAGTGACGTGAACAGCAGAAGCAGTCTGCAGAGTCATGGGGTGGATGGTGGCACCTGGGGAGAGTGGAGACCGAGAGTGAGGTGGACTCCAGGACCAAACAGGGAGCAAGTGCCAGCACTTACCTGGGGGATGCAGAGAAGGCACAGAGGAACCAATAAAGGGGACAAAGAAGAAGCAGTTGTTTAAAAGCATGAAGGAGGAAGTAAAAGGCAGAAAACTGTACTTGGAAAATAATTAAATAAGAAAAAAATTTTAAAAATAAATAAAAGCATGAAGGACCAGGAGAGACATGCTTTTAGAAGTCATGGCAAGAGAATGTGTTTCGAAAGAGGGGATAGCCAGCAGTAACAGATGTTTCAGATCAGGTTAACAGTGTAGATAATAAAGAGGAAGCCACGGGCTGGCAGCCAGGGTGACATTAGTGACCTCAGCAGTTTGGTTTTGGGGCTGGTGGGGCAGGAACACGACTGAGGTGAGAAGGGGGGTTCATGGCGTGAAGACAGGGAGGGCAGGGAGGAGGCAGAGAGTGCAGGGCAGAGAGCAGACCCAGTGGCGTGGGAGCCTGGGGCAGAGAAGGGCGAGTGTCTGCAGAGGTGGTCAGGGTAGCTCGGGGAGAGCCAGTAAGGAAGAGGAGGCTCTTTTCACTCATTTCGTCAATTTAAGGAAGTCCGGAAAGATTGTGTCTGATGGCCTTGGTTGTCCCCAAGGGGTAGCAGGTGAGGCCACCTGCTGGAGTGAGACAGGCAAAGCTGGTGGAAGGATACGGAAGGAGCCCACACTCTCATTCCCCCAACCCCCCAAAGGCATTTCAGAACACCTTTCCATCCTGTGTCCTGCCCTAGAAGGTGACCTTCACAGCCTGAAATACTTACTTTAAGAAAAGATACACATTTTAAGACATCTTCGTGTCTTTGATATTTCTGTAGCATCCATGGAGAAGGAGAACGCCCAGCCCTTTGTGGTCCTGCCGAAGGAATTCCCCGTGTACCTGTGGCTGCCCTTCCTCAGACATGGCTACTTCTGCTTCCACGAGGCCGCTGACCAGAAGAAGTTCAGCGCTCTCCTGAACGACTGCATCCGACATCTAAACCACGGTATGGCCCTTGCCCCCAGCTGGGCTGTTTTCTCAGTTGATGTGCTCAGCCATCTGTTAGAATGCTTCCTAGAAAGAGCCACAGGCGGCATTGCCCCAGGTGTGCTGAGCGAGAGTCTTGAGTGCGGGGAGCGTGGAGAACATGCTGGTTGTTTAGTCTGGTCTGGAGGCCTCGGTGGGACAGAATGCAGAGCAGGCGTCTGACCCCACACATAGGCATACTTTGAGGCACCATCTTCCACATGTAATTTTGCATATAATTCATCCTCCTGCTTGCAACTGATGGTTTAAAATCTACATGACAGCAAGAATGTTTCAGGTGTCCCTGGCAAAATCCTGGTCCTTAGGACCTTTCTCACTTATTCCCTCCTTCCTCTGAATACTAGTTACTCAAAACTTGAAGGTACATAGGAATCCCCTACAGAACTTGAACACAGATTTGGGGGCCCAATTCTCAGCTATTCTGACTCACTGGCTCTACGGTGGGTCCCCGATTTTGCTCTTCTAACAAACTGCCAGCGCTGGTGGCACTGTTGGCCCCCGGGCCACCCTGCAGCGGCGTGGCCTCAGACCACGGTGCCTCAAGGTATGGATTTCATTCACTTTATGTCTCTAACAAAGCTTTTCATCCCGATATGTCCTGTTGTTGCTGAATGGATGTGAATGCTGGTTTTCTGGCCTCCACGAAGCTTTCAGTTACAGGCCGTTCACGAGAGAACGTGGTAGTTATCAGTGCGTTAGGGAGTCACTGGAGGTTACCACCTGGGGAGGAAGGGAGCCCAGCGCTTCAGCCCCTTCGAGCAGGTAACAGTGGGGTTGTCCCCTCACCCACTGGGCCTTTACTTCCTAATAAGGCCAATTTCACTGTGCACTCACTTTAAAGCTCTGGGATCTCCCCAAGAGTATCAGGCCCACGGAGTGCGAGTCACTAGTGGTGCCTATCAGCCTGTTCCTGATTTTAGCTCGTGCATTGATACACCAAGTGGGAGAAGATAGTGTCACTTTATATTGCTATAGCAACTCTCAACAACATGGGTCATAATATTGTCTCCTAACTAGCTAGGGGCTTTATAAAAACGACACCGTTATTAATATCTTGCCTTGTGGTTTTGGGGTTTTAGAGACAGAGTCGCCCAGCACTGCCGGCCCAGTCTGGCTCCTTTCTCAGCGCACTCACACCACCTCTGGGTCCGGGGCTTTGGTCTAGTGCGAGCATGCACTTGGCAGTCAGTGCAGACAACCGCAGAGTTTCCTAAGCAGGGAGTATTCTCGGCCCAGCCAGATGGGACTTGCCGCACTCCCCGTCCATGGACATAATAGGAATTTCTCCGGGGAGTCTTTGGCTGGCGTGCGGCCTGCATTCAGACTCCATTTATGGAAGCGTTCAGGCGGCTGAGAACCCGGCTCTGCTCTTCTGTGTGTTATCGCAGGCAGCAAGGTCAGGAGGTCCTGTCACACGGCTCTGGGTCCGTGTCACATTCCTCTGTCTCAAAACCGAGTTTCCTGACGGAGGCTTTATGCAGACTTACTGTGATTTGGCATAATTTCCAGTAGCTCTAGGCAGAGCTGGAGACAATCAAAACATCTCAGGGGACTGTCCCTGACCCTCCCGCGATGAGCTCATGGGTCTTTCCCTTCCCGCCTGTGTTTCTGCGTTTTGGACAGTGCGGCGGAGCTCTCTTCTTTATTGAGCCCCTCCCCGCTTCATCTCAGTCTCTACCTGTTATTCAGTGTTTGATCTTGAATAAACTAATAAGGGGATTCTCAGACAGCTAGTTAACCATTATTTTTTCCATGATTACCAGAAGGGATTAGGCATTAGAGGTGTGATAGCTGCCAGAAACCCTGAAGAGCCTTGGGGAGGCTGCTGGCTTCCACCCTCAGAGTAAGCTCCGCCCCCTGCCTCTATGCTTCCTGGACTCAGGCCCCGCCCACCTCTGTTGAGAGCCAGGAGTGAGACATCAGCTGGTGCTGGGCCACTGTTGATCCTGTTGTCTACTCACAAGTCCTCAGAGATCCTTCCCCTCCCCAGTTTTACTGAGATATAAGGGACATATAACATCGTATCACTTTAAGGGGTATAATATAATGATTTATGCATATATTGCAAAAGGGTCACCAACATATAATTTTAGTTAACATTTGTCACTCACATACTTACAATTTTTTTCTAGTGATGAGAACTTTTAAGATCTAGTCTCTTAGCAGCTTGTATGGACAGTACAGTGATGTTAACTCGAGTCGCCGCATTGCACGTGATATCCCAGAATACCTTTGGGCCCCCTTTCACTCATTTCTTCCACCGCCTACTCCCTGCCTCTGCGACTACCAATCTGTTCTCTGTTTCTAGGAGTTTGGTTTTCTAAGATATCGAATGTCAGTGAGAGAGTACAGTATCGGTTTTCTCTGCCTGACCTATCCCACTCAGCTTGAAGCCTTGGAGGGATATTCCAGGGAAGGTCATTCTGTTGCCTTTGGGCTAAATTCCATTCAGGACGTAGGTCACTTGGGGTTCCAGGATGGCTCCTTAGTGCTCACATCCCACCAGAGCCCGACCCACTTGCCCCGGGAGTTCTGGGCTCGCACGGGTCTCGGTATCCATGACCATTTTGAATCCAGAACTGCTTCTCTTGTTCTTCCTTATGGGTCAGGTTCATTTCTTACTTAACCCTGATGGAGGGCCTGATTACACCCTGTTCTTGGAAAAGATGTGCTAAGAGAGGGAAGGACAAGTAGAGGATTCGCTGCTCCTCCTTCCTTTAAGAGACGAAGCTGCTTCTGGGAGCCTCAAAGACTATTTACACTTCTGAGGAGCACAGAGGCATATGTGATGTGTGCGTGTGTTTTGTTTCTGGCACCTCCTCACTGAACAGGCATAAGAAAACTCCATGATGAACCTTTAGCAGAACCTCCCCTTCCAGCGCACTGGACTAAATATCCACTCAGTGCATGACCGGTGTCCAGAGCACCTGCCAACCCGTGAGCTTGGGAACTAACTCCGTAACCCCTTGTCCCGGATGAGGAAAGGCCAGGATCCAAATGTCCCACGCCACAAAATGGGATTTATGTAAAGCCACGATATTCCAAGATGGTCCTATTGCCCAAAGATCAGCCCATTCTCCAGAATTTTGTTTGCAAAATATTGTATCTATACTATACTGCAGTTACAGGGATATGGCCGAAACTCACAGTGAATGCAGAGAGCTGTACACATGCCATGGAGAGTAATGGTCATTATTACTGCGTGTCCGCCCTTGCAGCTCAGGATAATCCTTTTTCGGCGTGGGAATTTGCAGAGAAGGGGAAAACTGTTTCTGGCAGGCAGAACAGGATATGTAGCGGCCAGGAAGAGAGGGTCAGCGCATGGACCATTAGAGGAACTGAAAGGATTTTGTGCGGCTGGTGCTTAGAGAGGAGACCCAGCCAAGTGAGGATGGGAAGACAGGCAGGATTCAGGCCATAAAGGGCTTTGCAATGCACATTAAGGGATTTGCACTTTATTCTAACAGCAACAGGAAACCATGAAAGGTTTCGAAGCAGATAAGCGACTCAGCCTATATTCCCTTTAGAAAGGTCACCCTGGCTGGCGTGTGGGCAGTGGAGGGGAGGGTTGCATACTGGGAGGCCAGGAGGCCACTTAGGAAGTTTTGGCAGCAACAGATGGTGGCAGCTGGCACCGAAGAGGTGACTGTGGAGATGGCAGGAGGTGGCTGGGTGAGAGAGTTACCCAGGAAGCAGAGTCAACAGAAACGAAGGATAGATGATGTGTGGAGTGGGACAGCAGTGGGGCAACCCAAGAAGAGCCCCCTACATTTCTGCCATTGTCTGAGACGGATCCTTGGGCAAGGAGGAGCCGTGTCCAGGGAAAGGGGGTGGTGTCCTGTGTTGCAGATGTTGTGGAGGAGACCTCTGGGCACAACCAGGTGAGAAGGTCTCTTACACAGATGCACAAACAAGGCTGGAGAGAGCAGGAACACACACTGATGTGGAGACACAGGTGGGAGATCAGCCTCCTGGTGTGGTCATTGAGGGCGGGGCTCATTTTGTAGGAAGGATGTCGCTGGCAAGCCCCCTCCCTCAGAGGCACAGGCTCTCTTTTATCTCTGTGTCCCCAGCAAATGCCCTAGAGCCTGGAGCCTGGTACAGGCTCTGGGAATATGTCCGTCCTCCACCCTTAGATAGACTTGCAAATGTGCCCATGTGGGAAGAAGTGTGGGGCATGTGTGTTCGTGCACCCGACAGCTGCTTGTACTCAAACTTTAAACATGAAAGTAAAAGGGATTGGTGCTTTTGTGTTAAGCACTAACTTATTCACTCGCAGCATGGACCTATGATTTTACCTTTGGAAGTTGAAGCAGCAGATTTATTAGGAATCCAAAGCCCTTGTGAAATTCGGTGACTCAGGCTCTCTGACTCACCCTCTTTGTACTCAATTGCCAGTGTCTCTTCTGTGTTCTATTTCAAGTTTGTTGCCACCACCCTACTTTGAGACTCATATAAAACATGTCCAGAGGCTATTAGTTGATCTTACTTTTGCCAGTTACTGCCACGTCCTTCTGCATGTGACAGTCAGAGGCACCATCTTCTTAAGCACAGTTTTTTTAATAATAATCTTTCCATCACATTGCTGTGGTCCAAAAGAAGAAACACTTCATTCTACAGGACACTGACTGGCTGGGTCTCATTTCCTACTGTCCTCAAGCATAAGCCTCCGTCCCCCCTAACCTTGCTGCACCCTCTCCCACTTGCCCAAGTCAAATGGAAGTTTTCCATGCACATCTTTGGCCTTTTAATACACCTGGAACAGCCACTCCTCACCTACTCCAGTCCTCTCTTGCCTCTTTAAGAATAAGTGTCAGCCTGACCCAAGCCATGCAGGTCACAGGAAGGACTTCACCAGCACCTCTTATCAGTCCCACGGATGGAACACTCATGGCATCCTGCCTTCTATCATTCATTTTCGTGTCTGGTCACCCTGCTTCTCTAACTCTACCCCACTGC